TATTTAATGTAGGATGAGTTTTGTTGACAATTCATTTTTCTTTGTTTACTTAGGAGCACTTAATTCTCTTAACTATTTCCAGCTTCAGTTTTCTTAATTTAAGAAAGAGTCATATTTATAAAAAGACTGACCAGGTTGGGCACAGTGGCTCATGGCTGTAATCCTAGCATTCTGGGAGGCTGAGTTGCGTGGATCTCCTGAGCTCAGGGGTTCGAGACCAGCCAAAGCAAGAGCTGTCTCTTTAAATAGCTGGGGATTGTGGTGGGTGCCTATAGTGCCAGCTCCTTGGGAGGCTGAGGCAAAGGATCACTTGTGCCCAAGTGTTTGAGGTTGCTGTGAGCTATGTTGCTATGGCACTCCACCAAATGTGACAAAGTGAGACTCTGTCTCAAAAGAAAAAATAAAAAACAAAACAAAATAAATAAAAACATTGACCAGACCATCTGCTATAGATGATTCATCTGAACCAAGTATTGTTATGGTCCTTGTTTTTATGATTGTTGTTATAAATACATAGTAATAATGTCGACCATATAGTGTACTGTTAGGAACATTCACTTTGGAATTAGACTAAAGTTGAATCCCAGCTCTGAAATTTTCAGCTGAGTAATTCTGTCCAAATACCATAGTGTCTAAGAGTTTATTTCTTCACATGTAAAATGGGTGATGATGTGCCAAGTGTGTTGGCTCATACCTGTAATCCTAGCTCTATGGGAGGCTGAGGTGGGAGGATTGCTTGAGCTCCAGAGTTGGAGACCAGCCTGAGCAAGAGTGAGACCCCATCTCTACTAAAAATAGGAAAATTAGCTGGGCATCATGGCATGTACTCCTAGCTACTTGGGTGGCTGAAACAGGAGGACTGCTTGAACCCAGGAGTTTGAGGTTGCAGTGAGCTATGATGATGCCACTATACTCTACATGGGGCCACAGACCAAGACTATGTCTTAAAACAATAAAAAAATAAATTCAGTCATGGTGAGTAGGAGGAGATAATAGGTATCATTTATATAAGGCTTATTACTTTAGTCACTGTCCCAAACACTTGATATATGTGTATTTATACATGTATATCTCTGTGTGCATATGTAGACATGTATAGAGAAATATAAACTCATTTAATCTCCACAAGAACCCTATGACATTATATACTCATTTTACTCATGAGGAAACTGAGACAAAGAGAGATTACTAACTCACCACAGGTCATAAAGTAGTTTGTGATGCAGATCATACAGTTTGTCTCCAGAATCTAAGCTCTGTGGTCCAAAGACCTCACAATAATAACCAACTTTATGGACTTACAAAAATTAAATCAGGCAATAAAGTGCTTCATACATAGAAAATGCTCAGAAAATAATGGCAATTATCATCATCTCTTATTTAGTAGGGAAAATTTGATAAAATGTAACTTTTATATACTTCTTAACCTCTCTGGCCTTGGTTTCCTCATCTATAAATGGTAGTTAGAGATGTGATCTTTGTGACTCTCTTTGTCTGTGAAATTAGTCTGTTCTCAGTGTAGAAAAGGTTACATTAGACAACACAACTGGAGTGAGTTGCCACCCCTGTTCCTCCAAGACATTGGTAGTGTCTGGAGGCATTTTTGTGTCATCATGGGGTGGGGGTAGAGTAGGGTGGGATTATTACCAGTATCTAATGGGTTGAGGCCAGGCATGCTGTGAAACATTCTACAGGGCACAGGACAGGGCCCTCAATGCAAAAAGGTGTCCAGCCCCAAATGCCAATAGTGCACAGGGTGAAAAATGCTGCATTAGCCAACATTACAAAGAGCAGTAAATGCCAAATTTTATTTCTTTTATTTCATTTTTTTAATCTCTAGCGTCTTGTATTATCTTGGCACATAATAGGCAAATAAATATTTGATGGCTATATAAATAATTGGGCTAATAATGAAGACATATGAATGAATACATGGAACACATGCTTACTTTATTAAAATGAATGACTACTACATTGATATATCTCCTTTCAAATACAAATTCTAGTTCTCAGCCAAAAGTGGGTGATCAATTGATTGTGTATACTTATATTCTATTAACTTAAGTAATTAGGAGTTATAAATAAGAAGGAAGGAAAAGATGCGTTATGGACCATAGTATAATATTAAGGTTGAAGTACAGATAGGCTCTGGGATTGCCTCACAAGATCCTGACTTTACAATACATTTCCTATACCAAGTTACTTAACCTCTCTAAATTTCAGTGATCTTATTATTAAAATATGGACCATTACAGATAATATGTTGAACACTTAGCATAGTGTCCAGCAAGTGTTCAATATTTTTATTTATTGTGATTATTTATTATTGCATCCTACTATGAACCAGATTTTTTGCTTGGCATAATCTAGTTCAATCTTTTGTCAATCCAGCAATGTCAGTATTAGTAGGTCTCATAGATGTTTCATCCCATGTTCTGTCCACTATACCAAGTTGTCTGCAGCTGTATTGCACGTATTTATATGTGTTTTTTAAAGTTGCTATCAGAAGTTCTAGGTCTGTTTTTAATAAGTTATTCATCTATGAAACACTTTTCTTTTATTCAGAAATATCAGTGAAACAAAAGACATACAACTTTATAAAGAGTCATTACAACTAAAAGTAATGAATGAGCCTGGATTGGATGCTAGATTTGAGGGGTCGGGGGAACACCTATAAAGGACATCATTGGAACAATTGGTGAAATTGATTATGAATTATATATGTTAGATAATGGTGTTAAAATCATTGTTAAATTTCTGAATTTGATAATTATATCGCAGTTGTATAAGAGAATGCCCTTATTCTTAGGAGAAACATTCTGAAGTAATTAGAAATGAAGATCATGATGTCTGCAGCTTATTCTCAAATGGTTCTGCAAAGTAACCACAACAGTTAACAGCCTTTATTATAGAAGGATAGACAGAGATAGAGAGTGAGCGCACACTAAAGCAAATTTGACAAAATGTGAAGTATTGATCAATTAAGGCAAAGAGTTTTAGGGTGTTCATTGTACTACTATTTTAACATTTTTATAGGTTTGAAATTTTTCAGAATAAAACTTAATACATTCAGCACATTTGTAGGTTAGGTTTTAAGTGGGAGGAGCTCAGTATAACAGTTCATTAAATGTTTCATTCATTGATGGAAACAATCTTGATTTAATATCATGTTTTGTGAATTAATGTTATCAAAAAAATTGTTGGCCAGTAGATATTTTTTTGCCAGAGTTTTGCTATTGTAGAGTCACTTCTAATATTTTAATGCCTATATTGGTAAAGTTTTCTATAAAATACAAGTGATAATTTGAAGTAGTAGAAAGAATGATAGGCTAGGTAGTAGAAATATGGATTGAAATGTAGATACTGCATTGGTCTCGAACTCCTGGCCTCAAGCAGTCCTACCACATTGGCCTCCAAAAGTGCTGGGATTATAGACATGAGCCACCATGCCAACCTAGACTCTGCCACTGGTTAGCATTGTAAGATTTGGTTTATCTAACTCTTAAGTACTTCCTTTGGGAAGAGTCATCTGTAAATTGATTTTACAAGTGTATTTATTTGTAAATAAAGTAATACTGATTAAGTTGTTAATCCTAGCTCAATTGATTGAATAAAGATCATTTTTGGAGATCTTTACAAACAGAATAACACTCTTGCCTGTGAGTATATTTCAAATGGGGTCCTGACTGATACATATGAACCAGATGTCTTTCACTCTGGCCACTGTTTTCCAGAAAACAACTTCTTTCCTTTTTAATTTTGTTACATCATTTCTAAATGCTCCTGCCTTTAGAAGTATTTAAAAACAGTGAAATGGCTGAGAGTAATAAGAAAAAACAAGAGATACTTTCCTGAATTTTGGTCTATGTCTTTACAATAACTGTGCCATCCACATACTGAAGGAAGCCTCAGAAGTATTTATTTGCTGAATACCAATATTATGATTGTATAATAAACATTCTGTTTTCCTTCAGTAATATTATAGCTTTCTCTCTATATTTTTCAATTCAAATAAACTTAGAACAAGATTTAAAATTTTTATACTTATGTCTTGGAATAATTAATTGGAAACCTTAACAAAAGACCCCAGCAAAAACAACCACTAGCTATATTGTATAACATTCTATGTTAAGGATAAGGGGCCAAGATTTTTAAACCTTTGGGGAACAGGAATGGGTTATGATTTGCATTGACAGGATTCTATCCTTATTTCTTTTCTGTGTTTGTCAAATAAAGTTTTCAATTAAAGAAAAGAGGTTTCTTTTCTTACTAAATTGGCTATTAGTAGTAGTACTTGGATTTCTTCTTCTTTAAAAGAAAGTGAATGGAAATATATTGAAGGGCTTCTATTAAGTATTATTTGGCTTTAAGCAATCAGGTGAAATAAATTATTATTGAATTAGCAAAATATTTTTGTTTGTTGACAGAAACAGATATGCAGTATGCAGCAAAAGTGTACCGAGATGATCGTCTCCGAAGGAAAGCGGATGCCTTGAGCATGGACAACTGTAAGGAATTAGAGCGGCTGACCAGTCTTTATAAAGGAGGATGAACTGGAATTTTTATGTATACCTTTTTCTGTTTTTTCTGTAAGTTTAGTATCATCATGAGAGATGAAGAAAAAGATTTGATATTAAAAACTAATCTGAGCTGTTGGTTCCCAAATCTTGGACTATTTATGACCCACTGGCTCCTTTAAATAGTAAGAATTGAAAACTAAAATTAATATTTTAGTTATGCTTCTGCAATTATTTTCATTTTCAAAGCTTATATGATTCCTAACTAAAAATGTCTGGAGAGAAGATTGTCACACCTGTAGCAATTTCCAGTTTTAGTGATTCTCCATTTTTCCTTTGTCATGTAAATATTAATGGAATGATCACTTTGTGTACATAAAGATTATTGCCTTTTTATTTAAATTCTTTAATGTTTAGCTCCATGAGACACTTCAGTATAAATTGATGGAAAAAAATGTTACAAGACACAATTACATTTTTCTTGTCGAGGTGTCAAATATGTGGAGTTTAAACAATGAAACTTTTTCAAAAAGAAAAAACTGTTTAACTTTATGTAAAATCTTGTAGCATTATCAGCTTAGAGGGAATTGATATTTTTATTATTGCCGTTATATTCCAAAATATATATTGAGATAAATGAACTGGTGTAGAGTATCAGTTTACTATTTAGTTTTATGAATTGCTATACATATACATGCATAGAAATGAAAAGCTATACTGGTAGATTTTAAGAGAAATATGAGGAAATGGCTATACATATTAAATTAAAAGGGTCTTCAACAATAAAGTGCAGTTATGCCATTTGCAACTTCCGTAATTAAAAGGCCCCCCAAATGTTCATGTATATATCTTTGAAGGCTGCTAAAATTTATTCTTTATAGAGGACCACCTATTTTTCTCCCCATGGAAATTGCAGTTTGTTAGTGATCATTTAAGCAGGATCCAAAAGTAAATGGATTTTTTTTACAAGTAAGTAATAAGAATTATTACTAAAATACAGCTTTGTGCCTTTAACCCTCCGCCAACTTTTAAACATATAAGTAGATTACAGTACACTTTCTTGATCAGAGCATGATCTGTTTGGCCAAATGCAACAGAAAAAAGAAATACAGCAGCAGGTAGAATAGTTATTTAAAGCAAGTCGTCCTTAAAAAATTCTGAGTTAAAAATCTATTCATCATTGAATAATTTTATTAATCCTATAGGAATAAGATCCTTATAATTAAATCCATAATAAAACTAGAAAAAACAAGCTGGAAATTGAAGTTTTTGGTGCCTATGTATTGGATGTAAAAGTTTTGATTTCTTGTCTTCTGTGTTTAACAATTGTAATATTTTAATGATTTTACTTCATACTCAGTTAATGGAACATGAACATATCTTTGGTGGATTTTTGGTAGCATGAAAATGCTAGATAGTGGCTTTTTCCTTCTGTTTAAAGGGTTTTTTCTGAATTTGGTTAATTTATGCCATCTTTTGAATAAAACTGCTGAAATGATCTCTTAAAAATGCTTTCTTGGAACCCCTTTTCCACGTAAATCAGTAGAAATTTTTGATTGAATTAGTAGGTTAAACTAAGCAACATACTGTATTAGGAAAACTGGACACCTTAACCCACTTGCTTATAGCAATGTGACCTTTAAAAGAAAATAGTAGTGCTATTTTCTTGAACCCGTACAGTAAGTTTTTTAAAAAATAGCATAGCATTCTAATAAATTTCAAAAGTTCATATATATCAGAAACTTCATAAAAATTTAAATGAAAAATTTCAACTATTTATTTTTCCAGTTTAATGGGAAATTTACACTATTATGGTTGATAATTATGCTAACTTCCCTTTTTGTTGCCTAGGTTCTTTTTTCCTTAATTCCAGCTTTAAGGGGAATAAGTGAAGTTAGTTACAAAGTAAAGTAATATAAAGTGTATATCATAAAGTCATACATGACTTTTGGACAGTATTATATGTCATTTGCATTGGTGAATTCCGTTACATTTCATAAAATGTTAGGGAAATCATGATTAATAAATGAAATTTTCAAACAATTGTGGAAAACAACTGGTTGAGTGCCTGACCACATAAGCCACAAAAATGTTAAGTAAAGATTGAGTCCTTAATGTCACCTATATCCTGGTATAAAGGCCCAACAAATGTTTAAGAATTTTGGGTTAACTTAACCAAGTAAGAAGATTAGCTATCTTGAGATGTAAGGTGTTCATGTTTGCTACTCTTTTTTAATAAAAATCTCAATATTTTGCCATCTTATTTTTAGCTACATGAGTGTAGCAATTTCATTGCATCATTTTAATCACCGCCTATAAATCCTCAGTCTTTTGGGAACTGCTATACTAGTTTCTCTAACTGGTATAAGTTTGGCAGAGTTCTATTTATTAATGTTTTACATTTTTATCTCTTTTTACACACACACATATGTATACAAACATTATTGTCCTTTTGAGGGTTTGTGGGGGAAAGAAAAGGTACCTTTTCTCCTTTAGATCCCTTAGTTCCTGAATAGATTGGTGCTAGTCATTTAGTCATTTCTAAGTTTCAGAATTTATTTTGATCAAATAAGAAAAATGAATTCTCAGCAATGAAAAATATCCAATTATTATCATTCGAGGAAGTGAAAATAATAAATGTGTTGGAAACAGATTACACTTCAGTGCTTAAGTATGTTATTTGTTTCATAATCACTACATGCTTTATTTATGATTTACAAAGATTTGATGAAGAAAAGTAAGTCCTTAAGGCATGTATATGCCATTGGAATCAACTACTCTGCTTTTCTGTCAGCTCAGGTGTTCACAGGAGCAAGAATGTGGAATGCCAGGCTTTCACTTTAATCGCTCTTTTATGCTTAATTTTCTTCCTATTAAATCTTCATTTATACTAGTATGTAAAATAGTTACTGAAATGATTAATCTTTTGATTTCCCCTTTCCCTTTTATTGATCCGTAATTAAAAAAAAATACAGACACATGACATGCTAATGTTACTTAATGTAGTCCAACAGACTTCATTAAAAAAAAAAATCTCTCACCTGTGTTAAGGCAGTGAACTATTTCTTGATGTTAGGACCAAATGAGCTATCTTTTCACTTAAACAAGTTTTACGTCAGAGGACCAAGTGGTTAAAAGAAGAGAATTTGTGCATTTACTTAGCTTCCCCATTCGAAGCGTGGGTTCAGTACTACCCATATCACTATCCATCTTCATACTGAGTGAAGCAAACTGAAGGAAGTTCTTAATTTTTTTTCTTAACCAAACAGAAAAACTAATGAAATGGAACAAAAAATCTGAGTTTTAATCTTCACTAAATAGCTGAAAACCTTGTCTATTGGCCATGTTGGGCTATTGCCTAGTAGAAAATCTATAAACTTCTCTATAAGCCAGTGGAAAAGAAAAGAGTAGTCTGGCAGTAACTTCTAAAATGTTTTTAAATTCTAATTTTCAATTATAAAGAAAAAGTAGATAGAATGAGGCTTTTCAAGAAATTCTTGCACATTTCTGTAATAATCTGGCAGGCACAGTCTTAGAATTCAGACTTCCTTTTTTGTTTCATTACTATTAAATAAATACTTTCATATGAATGGAAACATTTTTCCTCAAAATATTAATTAAAAACATACTCCTTATATTAAGGATTATATACCACATTTTTTATAAACTCCCTATGTGTAACTCTTTCCTGTTGATATGTGATTCCTCTTCATTTAATTTGATTATCTGCTGGTGTTGGGGCCAATAGATTTGTGAATATCCTGTGGATGTGTCCATGTATAGGTGTATATATATAATTTTTTTTCCAGCTAATACCTCAAATGTGTGATTGTTTAATATATACCACACTGTGTTTGCACAGAGCAGGGCTTCCATTAACAATGGGTATTTTTATTTCTAACTTTGAAAATTAGTTCACTGAATTTCATTGGTGTGAATTTTTTCTGTTCATCTTTTTCATGATTAAATGCAGATTCCTATTGAAAGGCCTATATTTCAAATATATATTAATTTTATCTTTCTATATCTAGCAATCTGGAAATATACACGGGTAAGAAGTATTTCTTAAAATGCCTTAGTTTAATAAGTTATTAAAAATGGGGATGACTGGTTGCCAAGACTTCTAGTAAACATGCATAGTGGATGACACCTGGCATGAATATAATTCTCATTCACTTTAGCACCAGGTTCTGTACATTCCAATCTGATATTCTACTTTGCCATTTAAGTACACCACTAAAATAATAGAGATTTTTCATGACATTGGAGTATTTCAGTCATTAGTTTCAAAATGAATTGCTTTTGAATTGTATGACTATACCAATGAAGAGAAGCACACATAAATGTTTTTAAATTTATTTGTACTAAGAAATGCTTCTTACCTACTTTGTTTTCTTTTAGTTTGGTTTTTGGATTGCTGCATAGGATTTTCC